CTACAGAGCGAGATCCAGGAAAGGCGAAAAACTACACAGAAAAACTCTGTCTCAAAAAACAAAAAACAAAACAGAGAGAGAGAGAGAGAGAGAGAGAGAGAGAGAGAGAGAGAGAGAGAGAGAGAGAGAGACTCTCACAATGTTTAAATCAATTTAGGAGTTAACTATCATTGGCCTCAGGTGGCCCACATACATGTGCACACAGACACACAGAAACACACATGTAATTCCAGCTGAAGGATTTTTTTCTGAGCCCATGTAGTAGAAACTCAATTGACTTTCCTCCCTGAAAATCATTTAAGAAAATTTAACTTCATGTACATATTCATGCATATAAAAAAAGATAACAAAACATCAGCACTGTTTCTTGAGTGGGAGAAGGCTGAGCGAGTTTTATTACTTTATTCTTTTCGCTTTTCAAACTTTCTACAAGCAACAGGAATAGCGTTGTAACAGGATTCATGCCTGGTGTGTGTGGGGCTGTGTTCAACCCCCAACCCCCAAGCTAAATGCATGCATAAGTAAATGAACAAATAACTCAATAACAAGATAAAGATACAAGTTTCTACAAATGCCAGTAATGCATTAATAACTAAGTACACAAATTTCAAAAACATTTCATTTCAGCCACATTGTACCTTTTTATCCCCTGTTTAATCCTATGGCCCCACTCCAGTCAGGAAATTGAACTTTGTGTCTTGCTTATTTTGGAACGTTTTCCAGATCTACTTTCCCATGTCCTTGTCTAGAGCTAATACCACAGTCAGTTTTTATCAGCTCCCATCACCCTCCAATGGCTCCAAGTGAAATCATTTCTGCAGGAAGAAGCTTTCTCCCTTCTCTGACTCAATAGTAATATCAGCAGACATAGTTGCTAATGGAATTCAGTGCTTACAAACTACAAGCTCTTTGTAAGTAATTTCCAATAATTTCAGAATACTGAGAAGTAGTATCCTTTTCTCATATTTTCTATATAAGAAGAGAAGCCTCTGAAACATTAAGCAGATTGTAAATCAATCAATCAGTCAATCAGTCAGTTAACCAACCAACCAACCAATGTCTCCAACTGGGAAGGTGGGATTGGAGTCCTTTGTTATGACCTATGAGTATCAGCCTATTATTTAGTGAACTTTCTGTTCGAACTACAACCTGGTTCTCCCTAAAAAATCACATGTATGCAGCAAGATTGCTCAGCGGGTAGAGCTTGTCACACAGCCTAACTATCTGAATTTGAATCCTGGGGCCTACAGAACCTACTCCCCAAAGCTGTCCTCTGACTTCCACACAATGATCGATTAATAATAGATAGATAGATAGATAGATAGATAGATAGATAGATAGATAGATAGATAGAAAGAAAGATAGATAGATAGATAGATAGATAGATA